AATCCCTGCTCATGCACAACTGGACCATGGTTGCAAGGCGGAGTGGAGAGCTGCCAGCATGAAGTGCCATGGCTGCCAAGCCAGGCCACCTGTTAGAGCGTGTTTGGGACCTGCTGGAGGATATCCTGTGCCTGCAAGGTGTGGATCAGCCTCCTGGCTCACGCTCACCTGGAAATTTTATCTGCTTTGTCTCAACGTACCCATTCAGGTAAAGCATGGTGGGGGAGCCACGGCTTTGCCAGGTATGGAGGGCACTCCCTGGCACAGCAAACCAGCAGCTCTGTGGCCAGCTGTTCCCCTGTGTTTGCCTTTCAGGCTGTTTGTGTGTTTGTAAAGAGGCTGCTGAGCTCTGCAGCTGTTGTGTCCCTGAGCATGGAGAAGGCACGGCTGGCACTGGCAGCTTGGAGGTGTCCTGTCCTGTCCTGTCCTGTCCTGTCCTGTCCTGTCCCACCCAGGGACCACCTGCCCACCACTCTGTGCCTGGGGCAGTGTTAGTGGGGACAAAAGCCGTGTTGCTGGGCACTGCTGTCTGCATCGTGGTCGCGGCTGATGGTGACAGCAGAGGAGAGAAGGGAGAAAATGTCTGCTCTGATGTGCTGCGGAGCGTGGCAGTGCTGTGGTACCTGCCACACTCAGGAGCCTCAAACAGCTTCCTCCATGCTGCTCTGTCAGGGTGTTCTGACGACCTGGGGTACTCTCACCACCAGGATCCTTCAGAGAACCTCTCATTTCTCTCACCTGTGGGGTTCTGGTGGCTGATGCCCCTGCAGAGCCTGGCCTCATTCAGCCGGTGTGTGGCCGAACGAGGGTGTGGAGGGAGGATGGGATGGTCCAGGCAGGTGCACGGTGAGGTTTACAGCCCCTGGTTCTCTGTTAATCAAATAAGGAGGGATCAGGAGCAGCAGACTCCTGTGGGAGGTGGTGGTGATGATTACTGCCCGCTGGAACCCAGGCTGGGTTCCCTGGCCAGGCAGCCTTCAGCCCAGCAGGGTTTGCACTGGAGGTTTGCTCCAGTGATGGATTGGCCTCGCTGCCTCTTTGGGGCCCCATCGGGGGGTTGGGGACTGTGCTGAGCCACACATGGCTGGGCAGTCTTGGCTGAGGCTCCTCGTGGGGTTTAGGGTCAGTTCCATGAGGCTGGAAGAAGCCCTGCAGCAGGCAAGTGGAATTCTGGGGTACAGGTGAGAGGGATGGTGCGCTCAGAGACACCCCAAACCAGCAAAAGAGACAATGAGGCTGTAGTAAAGCCAGGTTTGTGTCTCCCATCCAGTCAGCCTCTGGATCACCACCGGATTTGGGAAGGGCCATCCATACCAGAATGGCGAGGGCTGGAAATCTCCTCTCCTCTCTCATTTAGAAGCACGAGGCACAACAACAGGCACATTAATAGCCAGATTGATGCTGACGTGAAATGGCAGAAGAGCCCATCTATGCAGAGCTGGAAATGTCCATTCACACATGCACGCTCCTAAACGCCCAGGGCAACGGAGCGCTGCTGTCACGGTCTGGGGGGCTTTGCACAGAAACCAGAGATTTTAACTAGGTCTGATCTTCGGGAGATGCCCTGAGGACTCCTGACGGAAGGCGGAGGCTGCCTGGAATTGCTCTGTGATGGCTGAGACTTGACAGGGCAGATCTATGCAAAACAATGAAAAGGAAAAGGGGACTTGGAGATCCAACAGCAAAACGAATTCACCTGCCTTGCTCTGGCAGGATTTGCTGTGCTGCAGAGAACTGAGCCAGGCAGGAGAGACTGGGTCTGTCTGCCCGGCTTTGCCCCCTCCTCTCCCTCGCCCGGGCTCCGTGCACGCACACACACCAAGCCAGTGGCGTGGAAATGGGCGAGGAGGGATTATCCAGGAGGAAGAGGCTGAGGAGGAGCTGTGGCTGTGCTCGGCATGGAGGGAGTGTTGGCTGTGCTCGTGGCAGGGCGGTGCCGGGGCTGTGAATCATCCGGCCGGCTCGCGTGGGCGCGGGTGGCTTCCAGCTCCTGTGCCAGGGTGGCCCTGCCACTGTCACCCTGCCACTGTCACCCTGCCACTGTCACCCTGCCTTGCTGCTGGCTGCGCTGGGCAGGGGGAACCCCCTCACCATGGGGCAGGTGCAGCCCTGAATGGCTCTGGCAGCCCTGGGTTAATCCCCCAACCCACTCCCATCCACATCCTCCCAGAAAACAGCAAACTCCGTCTACTTCCTCACTCTGTGTGGCTGCTTCCTCCCCCTGAGCCTCTCACAAATTCCTGCTGCCTCCTCCTACCTCCGGCTCTTCTCTGGAGGTAGGGATGTTGGGAAGATACCTGGGTTCCATCACAAGGCAGCAGGTTGAGCTGGGATGAGAGGGAAGGGGAGTTCTGGACGCTGCTGTCGGCTCCTGTGCCGCTCCGCCTCTCTCCGTGTTTTGCCGGATCTCGCAGTTTTAACAGGAAACCCCCATGTTTTGGTGCAAGTCACAGGCACTGCCACTGCCTGTGGTGTCCGGGGTGGTGACTCCAAACTTTGTGTCACCACGGGGAGAAAACAGGCAGAGATTTGGGCTGTGGGACGTGGCAGCTGCTGGATTTCCTCTCCTCTCCTGTGCCAAGGCACAGCTAGGTTCAGCACGGGGGAAGGCAGGAGCGGGGAGAACGGCAAACCCTCGGCAGTGCTCGCTCTTCTCACTTTATTTCAGCTTCAGGAAGAAGTGGGTGGGCCAGCTTGGAGCAACCCAAAAAAACCTGTGGCTCTTTGCAAGGCATATGCTTCCTTGGAGGAGAGCTGGGCTCGTTTGCACTGCAGAGCGCCGTGTTTGCCTTCGGAGCAGGGACACTGCCAATCCTGGCGGCTCACCCGTGCGGAGATAAGTTTGAGCGCGCGGAAGTGTGTGAATTCTAGGAACTGAGATAGAAAAACAAAGAACATATGTGTGCTGCGTGCTTGGCTCGGCCCAGCAGTGAACTCTGCCGCGCTACGTGCGAGAAGCCAAACGCTGAGCAAAGGGTTGGAGGGTGTTTATGTGGCTGGGCAGGGCCCAGCGCCACGTGGAGGGGCTCAGGGCAGGGAATGATGCAAAATTCCCTGATTGTGTTCTTCAGGGAATGATCCAGTAGCAAGAAAACAGCAGCAAAACAGTAAAAATCTGATGAATGATTTGTTTGAGAAATACGGAAGCCAGTTAATATTGATCACGGCACGAGAGCGTGAGCTGGGTCACAGCCCTTGTGCACACACTGAGCCCTCGCAGGGCTAAAATGACTGATTTTACAGCCTCGTGGTGAAGAGATAAAGAATGTGAGAGAAAGGACGTGTGCAGCTCGAAGTGACTGTGTCACCAGCTGTGGGTTCTTTGTGTGTGCTTCTAAGACCTGGTAATTACCCCAAAATCTGCATCTCAGCAAACGAGGGGGTTTGTCTGGGCACACTCCTGTGCTCACAATGGCCCAGCAGCTGCAGCAGAGGGGGATGAAACCCTCCAGTGTTCGGGTAAACACATCGCCTTCGGAATGGCAAACCGTGGAAGGGGAGGGACGAATGGGAGTTATCCTGGGCTTGTTGTGGTGAACAAGGCGGCTTCTGGGAATGGTGGTGGGCCTGGGGCTGCCTCCTCTGTGGGTGAAATGGGAGCTGGCCCCAAGGGCAGCACTGGGAGAGGCCACAGAGCCAAGCGCTGCTGGAGCCAGCAATGGTGGGCATTGCTGAGCCTGCTGCATGTGTGCACAAACTGGGAGCGTGGAGCACAAACTGGGAGCGTGGAGCACAAACTGGGAGCGTGGAGCACAAACTGGGAGAAGGGGCCGTGACAGGGTCCGGGGGGGACCTCGGTGTCCTGGGGAGCCAGCCTGGGGCAGCTGAGCTGCCTCCCCCGTGGCTGGCAGCGGGGCTGGGCTGCGATGGACGGTGCCTCGGAATCAGGTCAGGCTCTGGAGGGGCTGAAGAGCAGCACGGCGGGCTCTGCATCCGCCAGCGAGCTGAATTCCTGCTGTGTCGAGGGCCCCTTCCTTATCGGCACTAATCCAGAGCAGCAGCTGCAGCAGCTCTGTGGCACTCGGCGCTCTCGGGGCTCCCGATAACCCCGCTGGCAGCAGCGAGCCCTCTCTGCGCTCCCAGCCATGTATGGCCACACACGGGGCACGGGCTGGCACCGCTGACAGCAGCAGCAGAGCCCCACACAGGGAGCGGCTCTCCCCTGTCCCCTGGTGTCCCCTGGTGTCCCCTGGGAGCTGGGGAAGGGATGCTGGTGGCAGGTTGTGGGTAGCAATGCCCTCCCTTCCAGCTTGGTCTCAGAGGCAAAGGTGCCCATCCCAAATGCAGCTGGGACATTCCCCCTGCCCGAGCTGGCAGGGAGTGTCACAGCCCGGCCACAGCGTCCTCACACCCGGGAGAAAGGTCTGAGGTGTTCCCAGGGAAGGGACAGGGACAGGCTCCGCTGGGAGGGGACACCGAGATTATTTCTGGTCTCTCCTTGATGCTGCAGGGACCCCGGAGGGCAAGAGTGTCTTTGAGCTCACGTCCCACCAGGGCCACTGGCCTCATTGCAGGAGTGTAATTGCGATGCTAATTGGGACAAATCATCATCAGGAGCCCGGCCGGGGGCTGATGGCCTGGTGTCGTGCAGTGCCCTGCTGAGAGGAGCCCTGGGATGCTCAAAACCAATGAACTTCTAAGAACAGATGTAGAAAGAGCAAACTAAAATTGTTCTTCTTGCCTCTTCTTCCGTGGTGTCTCTTAAATCTTCTTGAGAAAGTTTTTAATTGAAACGCACCACATTAAAAAAATAATCCCAAGTGCGAATGGAGTCTGTCCCAGTTTAGGAGGCTGGAAATATTCAGCAAACTGGTTAAGTTATGCCAACTTCTCCCAAAGACAGTGGGATTTAGGCTTGAGTGTTATAGCAAACTAGGGTAACTGTAAATCCAGCCTCATTTCTTTTCTTTTCTTTTTTTTTTTTGTCTCTGTGAAGGTTTAGGTTGAATATTAGGAAAAGGTTCTTCCCCCAGAGGGTGCTGGCACTGCCCAGGCTCCCCAGGGAATGGGCACGAGGCTGCCAGAGCTCCAGGAGCCTTTGGACAGCGCTGCCAGGGATGCCCAGGGTTGAGGTGTTGGCTCCACTGCCTGCAGAGCAAACTCGATACTGCACTGGGGTTTATGCCAAGTGGAGATGGTCAAAAATACATCACAGAACCCCACAATAAAAGTATGTCTGGTGCTGAAACCCTTCCCTTCCTGCCTTTGAACTGCTGGGCTGGGCGCAGCGATGGCACCAGGTGCCCTGGGTGTTTCCTAGGAGCAGCCTGGCTCCTTCTCCCATGGCATGGGCTGGCCCTGCCTGCCCACACAGCCAGCCATGGGTCATCTGGAGCTCCCCCGTGTCCCCTGGCCTTGTCCCAGTGCCCTCCCTGAGGCATCTGGGTGCTGACACCCTCTTTTCCCCTCTCTCACAGCGGCCATGGAGGCAGCGCTCATCTTCCTGTGCTCCCTGCTGGTGCCAGCGGCCGTGGCAGACGGTAGGTGCCCGGTGCTTCCCACACCCACCTCCGGATAGCCTGGGGATCCCCAGCCTCCAGATGGACCCAAGGGGGCTGCAGTGGGGCGTGGGGCAGCAGCCATGAGAGCCCAGAGCCCCAGAGTTTGTGGGGAGCTGCCAGGGCTCAGCCAGGGGCTCACTCACCCCTTGTCTGCTCATTTCCAGTGGCCACCCCGGAGAAGGAGGAGGAGGATCCCTTTAACTATGGTGAGTGAGCGTGGCTGAGCGTGGGGGTGGGTGTGGGTGTGCCGTGGGCAGCGAAAGAGCCGCCCCCTCCCCTGGCCCCAGCAGCAATGAGCCCTGTGTCTCCCCTCCCAGATTACCAGAGCCTGAGGATCGGCGGGCTGGTGTTTGCCGTGGTCCTGTTCACCGTGGGCATTCTCCTCATCCTCAGTAAGTTGGGGATGTGGTGGGTGCTGGGCTGGCAGGCTGGGGCAGCAGGGGCTGTTCCTGTGCTGGGAGGGCACTGGGAAAGGTCTCATCCCCTTCTGGCCACGCTCACAGTTTCTCCCCCCTTGCAGGCAGGAGGTGCAGGTGCAGTTTCAAGCAGAAGCCCAGGTGAGTGAGGGTGGCCTGGTGGGGAACAGCCCCTCTGCTCTGATCCTCCCGGGCTCCCTCTCGCAGCTGGCACTGCTGCACTCTCTGGGTGTCCCTTTGGGGTGCCCAAAACTGGGGGAGCAGCTCTGCCTGCTCCCAGTGCACCTTCCCAGCCTTCCCACCCCGGGATGGGGCACAGCTGACCTCACCGTGCTCCTCTGCTTGCAGGGCTCCAGGGGACGAGGAGGCTCAGGCAGAGAACCTGATCACCTCGAACGGTAAGGTCACCCTGCTGCAGTCCCTGTGCCACTGCCCCGTGTCACTGCGTGTCACAGTGACAGTGACAGTGACAGTGACAGTGACAGTGCAGGGCTGGCACCACAAACCCCTCTGCTCTTCCCTTTGCAGCAACGGCAGCACAGAAAGCAGAGAACTGAGCAGGAACCAATGCTGTGAGTCCCAGGCCAGGCTGGGTGGGGGCATCAGGATGGGAGGACAGCTGGGGCTGTGTGTGGGGTGTCTGAGGGGCTCTGAGCAGACCAGAGGGACTGGCCAGCTCTGCATCCCTGGGATGGGGTGGGGGCGAGCACTGGTGGGGTCCACAGCAAGGAAACTCAGTGCTGGTGAGGTCCCGAGTGTCCACAGGCAGCCCAGCAGGAAAAGGAAGCATCTGTCTGGATTTTCCCTTGTGTTGCGCTTCCTTCTCTTGTGCTCCCCCACCCCCGAGGGGTTTTGGTTTTAGGGTGTTCAGAAAGCTGGGTGTGAAGCCCCGGGGGTGTCCTGCTCTGAGCTCCCCAGCCTCCTGGGCTGCTTTGGAGCTCGTGCTGGCAGTTTGTGCTGCTGGGGTACATCCCCTGTGTGGGGAAAGCCTGACCCACTGCCCTGCTCCCCATGCAGAGCCAGAGACCCGAGGACAGATGCTCGGAGCGCAGATGGCCGCGGCCTGCGAGGAAACTGAAAGCCCAGCAGCAGGTCCCTCTCAGGAGACGCGGAGCTGCCGTGTCTGTGTCCCCCTCTGTGCTCCAGCACCGGTTCTCTGTTTCCTAACCCGACTAAACTCCGCTCACCGTCCTCTCTGCCTCCCGTGGTGTGTAATGTTGCTGTGAGATGATCATTACCTCTAGGGCTAGTTGTTGCTGATGTTGTAATCGTGACTTTCTCTTCACCTTTCTCGTGCTGTGCGTGTGGTTTGGGCTCTGTAGGACTGGCAGGCTGCTGCCCTTTGGGCTGCCCTCCAAGCCTGGAAACAGGGAGTGTGGGCTGTGGGGCAGGGATCCACGGCTTGGGGACCTGCAGTGCCCTGGGGACCTGCCCAGCCATTTCAGGACCACCCGTCCCCATTTCAGCAATAACCCCCTGCATGTCCCCAGCCTGAAAACAGCCACGGTGGGGAGTGAGTCAGGCAGGGACATCCCATGGCTCAACCCTCCTCGCTGGGGTCACTGGGGTGCTGGATTCAAGGCTGAAGGGAGCTCTCCTGCCTCTCCTGCTTGGCAGTCCCCGTTTCTGTCCCTGGTTAAACCTGTGGGACGCTGTGTGAGGCAAGGCTGTGGTGGCAGAGAAGCCCGTGAGGTCCCCAGCATGGTGACACTGTGGATGAGGGCAGCAGCACAGCCGTGGCCTCAGTGACCAGCACAAACCAGCTCCTGCCCGCCAGCCAGAGCTGGGTGGGGGACACAGTCTGAGGGCTAAAGAGAAACAGAGATCCTGTCCGTGCTTGTCTCCGGCAGGGAAGGGGCAGCAGCGTCTCCTCCTGGTGCTCCCTGCCCCTCCTGACGCCTTGTCGCTCCCTGTGCCACCCGTGTCAGTGCTGTGTGTTGTCCCGTGGTGGTTCCATGTCACCCCCAGTGCCAGCTGTCCCCTCTCCCCGAGGAGCAGCAGCGAGTGGCACTAAGTGATTGTCGGGGCTTTTGGACACCTGAGCTTGCAGTGTGACAATGTGCTGAGCCCAGAGGCCATCATCACCCTGTGTCCCCTCATGGGCTAGAGGCAAACCTGTGATTTTTGGCTCTTCCCCAAGTCCATGGGCAGACAAAACCTTGGCTGGGGCTAGAGACTGCCTGCTTGGGTGGGGGCAGCAGTGGGGGGTCCCCAGAGCTTCACTGAAACACCTCAGGTGCCATCCCCACACCGGGAAGGGGGTCTTGTCCTCCAGGATGGTTTTGAGAGGAGTTTCTGCTGTGTCCATCCCCCTGTGGTGGCCCTGCCTCAGCGTGGGCTGTGTCCCTGCATGTTTGGCATCGCTTGGTGGCACCGGGAAGCTCTGTCCCATCTGTGCCAGGCAGAGGGACCATGAATCTGGTGTTGTATCCCTTCCCTCGGTCCTGGCTGCTGCAGAGGGCCCCGGGCAGAGCAGACCCCCGGGCCGGCCCCTGAGTGTCACGGTGTGTGTCCAGTCGGAGTGCCCGTGCTGTCCCTCGTGTGCCGTCGGTGTTACCACGAAACAAAGAGCTCCCTGTGGTGTGTAAAATGGCCAAACCCTGACTGTTGTAAAATAAACTGAGCTATTGTGTCTCCTTTTAAATAGGCGAGTGTGCTGCTGTGCTGGAGGGCTGGTGTGCTCTGTGCTGTGACCTAAGGGGAAAGGAATAAAATATCGTTTCTATCGGTGCCTGCCTGCGTTGTCTCGAGGGCCGTGGCGTTCCCAGGGCAGCCTGGCAGCTTCCCACGCCGTCCCATTGTGGCCCGGCTGGGGCCAGGGCGGCAGGGGCAGCGCCCTGGGCAGCGCAGCCGGGCTTTGTGCCGGCCGAGCCCCCTGTGCTCCCTTCTGCAGCTCAGCAAGAGCCGGAGCCCGTGGGAAGGGAGCGCGGGGGCGCGGCCGCGGGCACTTTTGTCCCTCGGCTCTTTGGGAGCCGCTGTGTCGGGCTCTGCTGGCGCGCCGCTCCGGCGATGCTGAGCGCTGCCAGGGCGCCGTGACAGCAGTGAGTGACAGCAGTGACAGCAGTGACAGCAGTGACAGCAGCGCCGGGCCCCCGCAGCACCCTCCTGGGGCTTGGCTGCCACCCCGCGGGGCCGGGGGTCTGCGCTCCGCAGCCCTGCCCAGGGGAGCGTCCCTGGGGCCCGGCTCCCCCCGCCCCGGCCACCCCGGCGTTAATCGGCTTGTGCTCGTGACTGCCGCTCGCTGATGGCGAGATTAGAGCAAACTGGATCGCACAGCCCTCCTGGCAGCTGGCCCCGCCGGGCCCGGGGCTGGCACCGCCCGGGGAGGGGCACAGCATCCCGGTGCCCACTGCCGGCAGGGATGCGCCGGGGATATCTCCGGCTGCCGCCGGGCCCCGCGAGGGTTCGGCCCTGGCACGGAGGTGCTGACCCGGCCGAGGGGACACCCTCGGTGCCAGGCTGGGAGGACGGGGCGCGCTGCCCCCTCCTCTCCAGCAAAAGGCGGTCACAGCCTGTATTTGAGCCCAGCCCTCGGCTCGCCGCCGCCGCAGGAGGTGAAGCCCGGTAGGGCTGACAATGGGAAGGGGAGGAAGGGCTGCGACAAGGACACGCAGCTCGGGGTGCCCAGCCCTCCCCACCGGCTGGAACGGTGGGTGCTGCCCCTTCCCTCCCCTCCCTCTTTCCCAAAGGCGGGCGGGAGCCCTGTGCCTCCCCTCGTGACTGCGATAAACATTACACCGAGGCCATTAATGTTTAATGAGGTTTGTCTCCCAATTAATGCGCTTTCCCGTGGGTGCCCACTCGCAGAGCGAGGCACCCGCAGGACGACACGCCGAGGCCATGGGTGACGGTAAGGACAGACGCCTCCACGGGGACATCTCCATTCGAGGAGCAGCGCTGGTCCCTCCCACCGCGGGGGAAGCTCTCGATGAGGAATTTTGGGTGGGCAGAGGTGGGGATGGATCCCCAGAGCTCCACAGTCCTGTGGCACACCGGTGCCAGCTGGTCTTTGGTTTCTTGGGGCTATTTCTCCTCCCAAGCTGCTCCCAGCAGAGGGCTGTGCACTCAGGTAAGGCTGCAGCGGTGGCACGGTGACAGCTCGCTGACATGGAGGGGGCGTTTTGGGGTGCAGCCGGTGCGAGGTGTGAGCCTGGGGGGTTGTTCAGCCTTGTGCACCGAGGGGACAGAGCCCTTGCTGGAGTCCTGCGGGCAGCGGCACTTCCCGAGGGCAGTGGAGCTGGGTCCCTCCCTGCCTGCAGCTTCCCCTGCAGCTCGAAGGCTCCCGAGCATCCTGCAAATGCAAACCTGCAGGTGCATCCCGTGGATTTGGGGTGAGACGCAGGAGTTTCCTGGCTCAGCTGCGTGCCAAGGAAGTCCCAGCACTCTCGCTCGCATCCATCCTGGATCCTGCTCCCTCCCGCCTCCACATTGTGAGGAGGTGTCTCTCACTGGAATTTCTCCTCTTTTCAGAGCAAGTGCCCGAGCAGGGCCAGGACAGGTTCAGCTACGGTGAGTGTGTGTCCCGGGCAGGCCGGGGGCTGCGGGCAGGGGGACAGAGGGCAGCCCCTGCCACTCTGCCACGGGCTCTGTGCTGCGGGCTCAGCCCCACGCTCGGGCTGGGCTGACACCTCCCGGCTCTCCTCCTCCCCAGACTATGACACCATCCGCAACGGGGGGCTGATCTTCGCCGTCGTGGCTTTTGTGATCGGGCTCCTCATCATCCTCAGTAAGTGCCTGATACCCCTGGGCTCTGCTCCGTGCTCCTCCTCTGGCCGGGAGGGGGCTGGGGGTCAGCAATGCTGCCCCCACAGCACCAGGGGTGGGCACAGCCTGCCCCCGGCGCTGCCTGGGAACTTTCCATCCAGGCACGCTCCCAGCACAGGGCGAGTTGGGAGGGAGACCACGTAAATATTTAGTGTTTCCCTGCCAGCGCCAGGGCTTCGGAGGGAAGGTCACTCATTAAAAATAGCAGAGAAAACTCTGACGTTTCAAGAGAGAGGAACCAGCGTTCCCAGAGCGCTCGAACCTCGGCAGCTCCCAGACTGAGCCGATGCTAAGTGCGCCCTGTGACCCTGCCTGGCTCTGTACCGGCACTGCTTCATGCAGGGTGGCTGCAGTCACAGCTGGTGCAAGGATGGTGCCCACTAATTTTCGGGAGAAAACCATGGAAACCGACAGCATTTGCAATCACGGGGCAGCTTGAGCAGGAACCTGTGGCTGGGCGGTGCAGGGGTGGGTGTGATGGGGTGGGGGGAGGCTCAGCCTCAGTCGCTCCTCTCGCCCCCAGGCCAGCGGTTCCACTGCGGAGGGAGGAAGAAGAGGAGGTGGGTATTGCACGGTGCCTGTTCCAGTCCTGCCAGCTGACAGGACCAGCGTCCAGCCCATGTTCCTCCCCTCTCGGCCACGCTGCCCAGCCTAATGGCCACCTCTCCCTTTGCTTTTTGCTCCACAGACAAGGGAGCGAGGAAGAGCTGTAGGCGCAGGTAGGAGGCTGCAGCCGGCAGCCAGGCTCCCTGCTGCTTTGGGGTCCTTGCGCTTCGGGGAAGTATTCCCGGGAATCTGTACCGGGAGGAGAGGGGCTGGCACACACCGGCCGTGTCACACTCCGTCTCTCCGGTTCCAGAGCTGCAATGCCACCGTGGAAGCGGAGCTCCAGCCGAAGCCCAGGAGTCCTGGCCAGTGGCCATCCCTCAACCCGCTCCAGTGGATCCATTACCCCGCAAGGCCACAACGCAAATTACCCTCGTGCTTCCCCCTCTCTCAGACACAGCAAGAGTTCCTTGGCTAATAAAGTTCAAGCTCCGCGAGGTTAAACTGTGTGCCCGAGGCGTTTGAATCGCCCACTCTGCTGGCCCGGCGCCAATCACTTTTCTGCCCTGCAGGCGCTTTCCACCCCAGACCCAGGAAAGGTTCCCGCTGGCTCCTCCGCAGCCCGAGGCACGGAGCAGGCAGCCGCCTCCACCTTGGGTTTGCTCCGGATGCTTCTTCTCCCAGCTGCAGGTCCTGGATCCTGCGGCATTTGCCTTTCCCTTGGGATGCCCAAGCAGCCGCTGGCAGCACTGTGCGGCTCTTTGTGCGCTCGTGTCTGGCTGGGATGGGGTTAATTCTCTGCCTCGCAGCCCTGGCGGTGCTGGACTGTGTGTTGGCAGCTGGGAAGGTGTTGGGAACACTCCAGTGCTGGCTCCTGCAGCTTCCACAGCAGCAGCGCTGTCCCTTCACCATCCCCTCAGCAGCACTCCGGGGTGGGCAGGATCCTGGCAGGGGACACGGCCAGGACAGCCCCAAACTGGCCAAAGGGACATTCCAGACCAGGTGCCACCTGCTCGGGTACAGAAGAAAAGGGAAAGGAGGAGAAAAGGGGGGTGTTGGTGAGTTATAACTTTTGCCTTGCAGAGCAAACCTGACTTGCCGGGATGGGGCTGGGCAGCCCCTGCGGATGGCAAGCACAGAATTTCAGTCTTCTGGGTTTCTTCCTTTTCCCTTTTCTTGTGCTCACGCTCCCTCTGCTTTCACTTTATAAACTGCCTTTATCTTGACCCATGCGTTTGGGGGATTTTCCTTCTTTTTAATCCCTCCCTGCCCAGCTGGGGAGCAGCAGCTCAGTGGGAAACTGGTGTCCAGCCAAGATCAACCCAGCACAGCACCAGGGAGCGTGATCCGGGCGTCCTGCTCGGGCAGGAACAGCGCTGGGATGAAGCACGGAGCTCTGGGTGAGCTCTTGGCCTCTCTCAGCTTCGGATTCAGCCAGAAACGCCTCTTTCAAAAAAAAAAAAAAAAAAAAAAAA